GATGGGCCGACGGGCCTCTCTCCTACTCCACTTTTTTCCTTCTGGTGCCTCCTCCTCCCCCTCCTCATCCTCTCTCCTCCCTTCCTCCCTTCCTCCCTCCCTCGTTCCCTCCCTCCCGCCTCCTTCCTGGTCCTCCTCTTCCTCCTTCTCCGCCTCCTCCCCCTCCTCCTCCTCCGCCTACCGTTTCTACCGCTTCGGCCATCGTGAGTCGATCTCGCAGGCGGCAGCTCGATTAGCTAATCATCGATCGAGCGATCGAGCGGTGGCGTGGCGTGCGGCGGCGGCAAGCAAGGCCGCGCCTCCTTGCGGAGGTTGCGGGCGCAGGGCGGGCCTCCTTGATGAGGGCCGCGACGCCTCCTTGACCTGCCTCCTCGGGTGCGCGCCTGGCCTTCCTGCACACTGGCGGAGGCGCGCGCACCGAGAGAGTCGGATGAATCCCAACCATACCCGACCTCATGATTCGAAACCAAACACGTGTTACGCCAGCCTCATCCTTGAACTCTGGCAGAATCCCCCCCATGAGTGCGCAACATTGTATGCGTCCAGGGGGGGGGAGAAAAACCTCACTACGCCCTCCTCGATATCCTGCAGCCTTCTGTGTGGATCCACAAGAGTCCCTGCGTAAACGCAGAACTGATGCACGTGTGAAGCAATGGAATCACACAGCCTGTCTGGATACTACTTTGCAGAAACAATATTGGACGTGCCCTCTTGGAACCGTCCGCTCGACACTCTGTGGCTGCCTGGTGGGTGCGTGCATCTGCCGCGCCTAGGAAACTGCCGAAGATGACTGCCCAAGGACGGCATATTCACGACCAAAGGACACGTTGGCTTCACATACTCAGCTCCAAACTCACACTGATCCACCCACACGGGTTCTGTCTCTACACCTGGGTGCTGCAATATAGTCAAGTGCGAAGTTTCTTCCAAGTGCCAGGAGGATGGAAGGAACTGATCAGTCGGTGGTGCAGGATGCTCGCTCACTGCTGCCATGCCTGTCGCTGCAGCCACGTATGCGAACAGGATAGAGGTTCGATACAGATCAGTAGCACGTTCCAGCTGGGCCCACTCTTTTCCTTTTAGCTGTGGTATGCCCCACTGCGGGGAAATTGAGCGCAGCTGTCGCGGCCCCCCGTCTTCATGATTTAAACGGCTGGCTCGGGCTGACCTCCAAGTCTCGCATGGGGGGCCTGCGATCACAGCTATCGCTCTGCCAGCGTAGCAGAGGTCTACTAACTTGTCGATGGCAGCGGTATTCCTCAAATCCCCCAAGACCCCGTCGTACACGACGCCGGCCGACAACATCCATACCGTTGCCTTCGATTGCTCGGTGAATCTTCCAAAGTGGCTCTGCAAATCCCCTTGGCTTCTCTGGCCGCTGAAGAGATGCAATACGTACTTGATGTTGTTGCTTGAAAGTGGCAGGGGGATCGGCGCAACGCCAAAAAAATACAGCTTGCAATGAGACTGGCTCTGGGAACTGCTCTGGCACTGCGTATTGAGCAATCATCTCGGGCGAGGGAGGAGGGACCGATGGCCCGTATACTGGGTAAACGCTGCATCTGGCATAGTAGAAGCCTTTAGCCTTGAGACGCTGAATCTCGGCTTGCTCCTCACACAGCTCTTTTTCCTTCTCGTCAGCTTCCATCGGTGGAGTAAGAAAAGCCCGGCCCGCCGGACACCATCTGCTTCCCCTTTCTCAAATGCTTGAGCACACGCGCGCGAGTGGTGAAGCACTGTAGACAGGCATGGCACGTCCCTCCCCTGGCATGCCTAGCGGCAGGATCTTGATCTGGGTGATCCCTCACCCGATGGAGTCGCCAACTGCCTTTTGATCCCAAAACAGCCCCACAGTCCTGGCACGGATGCCCAAACTCCTGGGGGGTCGGCACGGTGGGTGGAGGCTTCATGCCACTCGCAACGCATACATCGTAAATCTTCCTCCTCCACATAGAAAGCCTTAACTGGTCCCTACTCCAGTGAGTGTAGTTGGCGACGGCCTTTCGGGCCATGCAGGCCCATTCTTTGGGGGCATCGCGGGCAATCCCGAACCAACTCCCAATTCGGACCACATCGTTGCCTACACCGGGGCTTACATGAGCTTCCAGCCAATCCAGGTCACTACGCAACATGGCGCACCAACCATCTTCGAACTCCCACAGGGCATCCAAGAGGATTCTCATTTCGGGGGGAGGGCGGGGCTTAGAAAGCACACGCGACAGATATCGGAGGCGAAGAATGCGCGGCACAATCTCGACGTCAAATTGTTGTGCCTCCAACAGCGCGTCGTCCGTGTGCCTGCGCGCACCATCGCGGTTAGCCCTCCAGGCTGCCTCACCAGTGGCTTCTCGATATGGCTTCAAAAACTCCGCCCTGAGTTTCTCGGCATCCTTGGCCCCCATCGGTCCCCAAACGCACCCGTGGAACAACAGTTTGGCGGTGCACGAGGGGTCACCAAACTTCAGCTTCGCCCCTGTTTCTATTCCACGCATCCTGAGCACAGGTCTTTTTGGCGGTCCCAGGCCCTCGTTCTGTGACATTGCTCGTGCTTGTTATCCGGGGCCTAGCATGCCTTCTACGTGGAGTACGCTTCCTAAATGCTCGTGCATGCTACAGATTCCAACCGGAACCTCGTAAGAGCCGATCTTCAAATACCCATCCCTTTTCGCAAGCCACTCTTACTCAGCACATTTACTACCTTCACCTTATATACCTACAACGAGCCCTGTTTTGCCTCTTCCGCAATTGAGCTGCATCCCTCTTGTTGCTGTGGCCTCATGCAGAATGGTGCAAAGACGGAGTGCTGCAGGGCGAAGAGACTCGTTGTTTGTCCAAACGGCAAGCGCAGTTAAATCGTTAGCATATATTGCGTCTGAGATTATTATGTGGTCTCTGTCTTGCTCGCCTGAAAAAGTTCCGACCGTTTCGGGCAACTCGATGGCAAGCTGCACTCTCTTCATCTTGTGGCGATATTCATCAAGAAGTACCGGCGCGAAAGATACATTGAAAACCATGTCCCCTATGTTGCTATCAGGGCGGGTTCCTACGAGGGCCCTGGCGATTTTGTCATCCTCACGGGCCGCGAGCCAAGTGTCCTGGTGGACGGTCTGGAGAACAGAAATGGGGGTCCTTCGCACATTTGTCTCACTCTCCTGGCTCGTTGGTAAGTTTGTCCATGATCGGCTGCAAGATAATACGAATGTCAATTGAATCAACGATATCATCCCATTCTTCATGTCTGATGAGTCCTCCCAAGACCAACTCGCGAACCACTTCTTAGAAAAAGCGGCCCTCATGTCAGTAAAAACAACAGAAAACTTTCCTGTTGGGCCCTGGCCAACTCCATCGCCGCGCGAACCATGTGCGAGGCCATGTCGGCCCCTGTTCCTTGAATGCCCCCGCATTGCGAGGCCCTCAAAATGTATTTAACAACCGTAGACAGTCTGGTTCTGAGAAACGCATGATGGCATTTCGCTATAGTGCTCATGAGCAGGATCTGTCTGTAACTGACTGTCAGCGAGGGCTTGCCGTTCATTTTGTAAAGGTCAAACGCAGTCCCCCCCTTTAAATGCAGCAGGCTCGCGCGCGTGCAAGGTAGCTTTCACCAGGATTGGGCGCGCGCGCGCCTTGCCATGCCCTGTGGGGGGGGGGCATCGCAGCACTTCGTGGAGAATCCTGCCGGGTCCAGCCGCCTTGCCGGTGTCGAGTCTGCTCAAAATTAGCTCAGTCTCTCTTCGGGTGATGACATTGGCTGGATCAACCTTATCATACTTCGTGTTGGGCATGCCTGAACCGTATTTCTCGATGTTATCCTGCTGCGAGATCCGCTCGGCGCATCCGAGCTCGCTAAAGTGCTTCGCAACATCCCTTGCTACGTCCTGCCCAGCAGCCAGCACATTCCCTAATGCGTCGATTCTAAGGGGGGGGAGAACGTTGAGAGCCTTGTTCTTTTTGCCCCCACCCCCGCCGAACCTCCTAAGGGCGCGCAACGCAGCCCAGCCTTCCTTGCTATTCTCCTCTGAGATGGATCTCCCGAGCTCGCCGGCAAGACCCTCCATAAACGCACTTCGAAGTGCCGCGGATAAACTCCACCAGGCTCTTAGTTCAAGCCTCGATCCCGAACTTACCTTCCAAGAACATCCGAGCCGACAGCATGATTATCTTCGCGGCTGGTTGATCCTCGATGACCTTCAACATGTCTGGCCTCGCGTGAACGTTCGCTGCAACGTTGAATAATGGTTGAGCCTGACCAGCCCCTCCAACTCTCGAAGTCCCCCGTACTCTCCGACGGAGCGCAATAAACTTCAGGCTCTGCGCTCGAACATACGGCTGACGAGCACGCCGTCAGGAAAAGGGGAAGCACTCGCGGGCAGCTCCAATCATAGCTCATTGAAGCCCCCACGTCTGGTCGTTTACATATTCGTTCCAGGGGGGGGGCGGGGGTGTCTTTGAGCTGTTCCACGAAGGCCCTCTTATGGTCTTCGTCGAACGTCTTCAGTGGCGATCCGGAGGGTCAGGCGGGAGAGGTCCAATTCGGAAGTCGAATTCGGAAGTCGGAATTCTGAATTCGGATATCCGGATTCCGAGTTCCGGGTTCCGGATTCCAGGTTCCGGATTCGACCTCCGAATTCGGATATCCGGATTCCGGGTTCCGGGTTCCGGGTTCAAGGTTCCGGATTGGACCTCCGCGGATATCCAGATTCCGGGTTCCGGGTTCCAGGTTCCGGATAGGACCTCCGAGTTCCGGGTTCCGGGTTCCAGGTTCCGGATTGGACCTCCGAGTTCGGATATCCGGATTCCGGGTTCCGGGTTCCGGGCTCCAGGTTCCGGATTGGACCTCCGAATTCGGATATCCGGATTCCGGGTTCCGGGTTCCGGGTTCCAGGTTCCGGATTGGACCTCCGAATTCGGATATCCGGATTCCGGGTTCCGGGTTCCGGGTTCCAGGTTCCGGATTGGACCTCCGAATTCGGATATCCGGATTCCGGGTTCCGGGTTCC